ATTGCATTAGACAGACTCCTACCAAACATGGGGTGTTCACAGGTTGAGGTTAAAAGTCACAATGGTTATCTCTTAAAAAATGACTGGGTTCATGTTCTATTGAACATAGTATCTCTAGTTTCTTTTATTTCTCAGTGACGTTCTCAACAAGGGGTGAGTGAAGTAAGTGAAAGGCATTGGGTAGCTGAGGCTTCAGCCACAACTGGTAGAACTAAAGACAAGAACAATTGTTATTTCTTTGTAATTCTTTTGGCATAATTAATGTAATAGTACAGTAAAATAATCAGAACAACTAAATATGGCTGAAAATTGTCAGTTTCTCTATGTATCAAAGTGTTCTCTTGAACAAGGGATTGTTAGATCCCCTGTCTGACAGATTTTACCCTGTCTGACAGTTTTTCCCACCCAACTAACCTGAATGTAGATCCTACAGCCACCACCAATCTTTCTCTTATAATTTTATTTTTACTAATATTTTTCCTAAACTTTCTGTGTTAGCTATGGGGTTGCTAGACCAAGCCGCTACCCCTGGCCTTAGTGTGCCAGCTACGCCAAGCTCAGCACTCAAGTATAGTACATGTAAGAAACAAAAAACACTAAACTTATCTATTAACAGTGGGATTGAATTTTGTCATTACATTGTGTACTCAAGTATTTATTTTCTCAACAATATTTATACTAGCCTGTATTTCATGCTTGCGGTACACTACAGAGATAGTTTATGATATTATAATAGATTATATTATATAATAGTATAATAATTACACTATTATTTTTATTTTCAGATCTGTTACTAATTTCTGTATGATTGTCCTTAATTTTTGTTTTATATTTTTTTTTTAGATACACCAAATAAATTACCGATCCCCTCTCAATATGATGTAACAGGTATCTTAAGCCACACTCCAAGGAGGTTAAAGACACCCTCTACTCCAGACCCTATGGGTTTAGTAAGTACCAATGCTTTTAAAAGTTACTCTGGCAAAATGATGTCTGAGTTATTTTATTTTATTTTATTTATTTTTTTATATTTTATTCTGCTTTACAC